AAATTAACTAAAAAAATCAAAGTTAAATAGATTTACTTGTAAAACATATTAGCTTAATCATGTCATTAGAATAATCTTATAAAAAATAATAAAAATATATTTATAAAATTCAATCATTTATAAATTTAATATTAAATAATAAAATAATAAAATCTTAAAAAATAAAATAATTTTAAAGACATTATTTCTGTAAACACTATTTTAGGAGGATGGGAACATCACCATCCTTCGTTAGTGGTTGTAATAACAATAATAATAATAATAATAATAATAATAATAATGGGTAGAAGTGAGAATAAAAGGAGGCTGATAAGAATTCCTCGAAATGATTAGATGCATGAGGCAATAAAAATGGTCCTCATGATTAGTATTGTTTCAATATTTTTACCAATCACCTACAAGCCTTTGATTCCACTCTATTCTACACCGCAAGCATAATATGCACTCTAAACATCCACTGTGTTTACGTGTCGAGATCTCAGTTGATATACACCTTTCATGTCATGCCACGAGTTAGGTATTGTGGGGTTCTCTTATTTTCTTCTCTACAGTATCATTTAATACATATATATACAGAGACACACACACTCTCTCTCTCTCTCTCTCACGAGAGACACACACACTCTCTCTCTCACACACACACACACTCACACACACACACACACACCCGAAATTTCTAGAGTCTTCTACAAACAACAATTACAATACTCGATTTATCATACTAACTTTCATCACTCAATTATAATATTAAATTCTTATTTTTTGTAGTATTTAGCATTATAATATTTCTATAGAATAAATATTTAAAACTAATTAATTCACCACTTATATAATTTTCCTTTGAAAATAAATATATTTAAATAAATATTATACAAAAATATAAACTAATTTAATAAGAAAGACTTTATAAAATTACATCTTTAATGAAAAATAATTTAAATATTTTAATTTTTAAACACAAAGATATATAATAACAAGATATTAATTCTTTCAAATACATCATTTACTTAAGAAAAAGGAGACATCCTAGATTCAAAAGGAGGCTTGGAAAAGAGAATATAAAGTGAAAAAAATACCTTAAGTTGTTTTTAGATTCAGGTACGATATTTAAATTTGAGAATGAATTTTTTTAAGAGGGAAAGATATAAAAACCTGGTTAAAATATAACTTGAGTGAAAATAAAAGTAAATTTATTTTATTAATCCAAAAATAAATACAAGATAGAATAAATAAAATAATTCTAAGAAATGTGAGGAGTATGAAATTGAATAAAAAAGAGAGGATTAGTAGTGTAAAAAAAAAATATAAAAAATATAAGGGCCAGTGTACAAACAGAACGAAATTTGAACTATAAATAACCCATTTCTTCTTTCCTTAGCCAAAGGTTTGAATCAAGATAGAGGGAGAGAGGTTTTAATTAATTTTTCTACTTGATTGTATTGCAAAATACATCAACAAAGTTGTTCTAAAGGTTATTAAAACCTAGCTAGTTAATTAAGAGAGGTGATTTTAGTGTTGGAGGCTTGTTTTGAAGAAGATTACGAGCTAACGCTTGAAAGAAAAGAAAAGGAGAAATCAGGTTTTTCTTGCAACCATTCCTTAAATCATTTTTCAACTAATATAATAAGTATGTTTAAAAGTGATTAGTTGTTATTATCATGTGTTTTAAAGAAGAAATTTAATTGTTGTTAGTATGCAAAATTTGGAATTTATAGTATTAATCACTTAAATGATGTAAATTTTGATTAAACTATGTTTAAAACAACGAATTATAATTGAGTAATTATCCAGTTTCTCCACAACACTTTGATCATCAATATTTTCTTATTCCTTATTTCATTTTCACTATAATCTAACACATTTGCAGTTTCATTTCTAGTATCAAATCTTCATTACTTTCTAGAGGAACTTCAAGCGGGACTTGAGATGGATTCACTTCAATTCTTCTTAATAAAGAGGTATGGATCTTGGTCAAATATGGAGACAAGACCAATTTGTAGGCCATAAGTCCAATCTTTTTGGTGATTTTAAAAGGCTGAATATATCTTATCACTAATTTTTCTTTCATACTAAATTTTAACATTTATTTTCACGGGGTAACCTTCAAAAATACTTTATTACTAATACCAAATTCTAAAGGTCTCTTCATGTTATTTGCATAACTTTTTTTGCCTATCTTGGATCATTTTCATACTATCTTTAATGATCTTTATCTTTTTTAAGGTAACCTGTACCAATTTGGATCCAATTAGTCGCCTATCCTCCACCTCTTCCTAGCACAGTATTGTTCGATATCAGTAGTGATGTTTTCCTGCTTTCACTCGAGTATCGGTAGTGTTTGCAAAACCCTAACTAGTTTCTATTGTTCAACTTTTACTTGTTGATAGATCCTACACTTTTCCACATATTCAACCACCTCTTTCTTCATATTCGACCACCGATAAATTTTTTTTAAAATCTGCGTATATTTTAGGACTCATAGGGTGCGTTGTGAGCCTCAATTCATGGGCCTCTTATAGAATTTTATTTTTTAGTGTTTCGTCACTTAACAAGTATATTCGCCTTTTAAGGACTATCATTCTATTTTTTAAAATCTAGTATGACATCTCAACTCCTAATTTCATTTTGTCTTTTATCCTACCAACCTCAACATCTTTTTGTTGAGCCTCAAGCACTCCATCCAGGAGCATCATCTCTATTCTTAACTAATCTATCAAAGACTCTCTTGGCTACGTTTCTATTTAAACACCGATCTTTCTCAACTTTAATAATTCCCTTTTATCATAATTATCTCACTAAGCTTTTACTACTTTATTTTTGCAATTAAAAGCGTTTACAGTAAATTTTTCTTTTCATGAATGATATTTCATTACGTAATCATAATCTTTGAATAATTCCACCTAACCTCTTTGGTGCATATTCAATTCCTTCTAAGTTATCAAATGTCTTAAGCTTTTATGATCCATAAATATCTAAACCCGAGATCCATATAAATAGTGCCTCCAAACTTTCAAAGCAAACATTACAACAACTAATTCTAAATCATATCCCGAGTAATTGATCTCATGAGATTTTAACTATCTTGAGGTGTAAGCAACCACTTTATTATATTGCATTAATACACAATCTAAACTCTTCTTCAATGCATCATTATAAACTATTAATCCCTATGTTCTTGAAGGAAGTGTTAATATAGGTGTAGTAGTAAGCCTTTTTTTTTTAAAACTCTTAAAAGCTTTCTTTACATTATTTTATTCATTTTCAATTTGCCTCATTCCGAGTTAGTCAGGTCATGAGAATAACCATGGTGGAGAACCCTTAGATAAATTTTTGATAACTCTTTGCTAATCCAAGAAAATTATGAATCTCAGTCATATTTATAGGTCTTTTCCATTTCAATATTGCCTCAACTTTTATAGAATTCACTAATATTTTTTCAGTCGATATAACATGTCCAAAGAAAATTACTTCTTTTAACCAGAACTCACATTTGCTAAGTTTGGCACACAACCGATGTTCCTTCAATGCCAATAGTACTCACCTCAAATGTTATTCATGCTTCAAGTACGAGTTTAAATAAACTAAGATGTTATGTATGAAACTACTACAAACTTATCTAAGTATGGTCGAAAGACTTGATCCATCAAGTCTAAAAACATTGTCGATGTGTTTGTTAACCCAAACGACATTACCAAGAACTCGCAATGCCTATAACGAGTTTTGAATGCAGTCTTAGCTATATATATATATATATATTAGATTCTAAACTGATGGTATCCTGATATTAGGTTTATTTTTCAAAACACTATTGCTCTCTTAAGTTGATCAAACAAATTATCTTATGCGAAAACATATATTTGTTCTTCACTATTACCCTATTTAACTGTTTATAATCTATATAGAGTCGTGTTTCATCGTTTTTGTTTACAAACAACATTGGAGCTCTCTAAGATGAATTACTCGAATGTATGAATCATTTATCTAGTAATTCATGTAACTGAATCTCTAGCTCTGCTAACTTGGTTGACACTATCCGATATAATGATTAGGTTATCAAAGACATACCGAGTAGTACATCAATAATGACTTTTACTTCCTTCTCTGGAGAGTACTCTCGACAACTTATCTGGGAATATATTGGGAAATTCTCTTATTATTGGAACATTCAACAATTGAATTTCTCCCTCTTTTGTCTTCAAAAGATGCTCAAGGTAAGATTTGCACCACTCCTTCATCATCTTTTTTATGGTCATAACCGGGATAATGCAAATCATTTTTTTTATGGTCATAACCGGGATAATGCAATTTTTCTACCATCAAGTCCTTAGATAATTACTATTTTCACAAAAAAGTTCATTTAAGCCTTATTCATACCTAGGCAATCCATACCTAAGATGACATTAAAGTCATGTAACTCTGGTTGTAATAGATCCACTCTTAACTCACACTTATTTATATTTACCTAAACTTTTTATACATGTAATCAATATTTATAGTTTCACTTAGTAGAATGTTTATAACAAACATATTATCTATTCTATAAGGATTTTTTTGACCTTTCACGTAAGTTTATTTACAACAAATAAGTGTGTGGCTTATAAATCAAATAATACATGAACAAGCATGATAATTAACTCTAATGTAAATGGAAAAATTTTGGGCCTGTTTATTTTTACGTTATAAAAATAATTTTTTAATTTTTTAAAATTAATATTTGTTTGATATTTTAAAATTATTTTGATGTACTAATATTAAAAATAATTATTTAAAATAATAATAATATTATTTAAAAAAAATAATATCTACTACTTTTTTAGACACCTGATATAGTTGATATCTTACATTAATTTATAAGATAGAGAAAATCTTGAAAAATACAAAACACAGGAAAAGAATAGCAAGTGGTTAAATAAATCACAGTAATAATTAATAGTATTAAGTAATGAATAATTATATAATCTTTTATCTCTCCAATGATAAATTGTTTTATGTTATATTTCTTTCCTCCCTGTACTTTGTATGCTTTTCCTATTATATTACACCACACCTCTCTGTTTGTTTTCTTGCTTGGCCCTTCAACCTACTTCTCCTCTCCTTTAACCAAAGGAAGAAAGAGAGAGAGCAGAAACCAACCCGAGAGTGATTCCAAATTCTCCAATTCACAACTTCTGCATTTCACTTCAGATTTTGCAGAAACGTTAGTTTTCTTCTCATCTCGAATTTTTGCGAAAACCAAAATGGGATTTTTATAAAGTTCTCTCAAGAAAAATCACTTCAGATTTTGCAGAAACGTTACTTTTCTTTATTTTCCATCTTTATCTTTCAAATTCTAAATTGGGTTTTGCTGAAAATAATCTATAGTATTCATCTTAAGCATGAAAAGTTTTTCACCTTCCTGAATACTGAGAAGGTTTGAGTTTTTTACTTTGATGGATTCGAATCCAAAGATGAGAAAGGAATTTCTTGACTCAACAAGATCATCTCCATTTCCAGATGAAGTACTGGAACGAGTTCTTTCACTCTTGAAATCACACAAAGATCGTAGCGCAGTCTCTTTAGTATGCAAGGATTGGTACAACGCAGAGAGCTGGTCAAGAACTCATGTTTTTATAGGAAACTGTTATTCAGTCTCTCCTGAAATTGTTGCACGTAGATTCCCAAGAATTAAGAGTGTGACTCTCAAAGGGAAGCCGAGATTTTCTGATTTTAATCTGGTCCCTGAAAACTGGGGAGCTGATGTTCATCCTTGGCTTGTAGTTTTTGCAGCAAAGTATCCGTTTATGGAAGAGTTAAGGCTTAAGAGAATGGCTGTTAGCGATGAAAGTTTGGAGTTTTTGGCTCTTAATTTTCCTAATTTCAAGGTTCTTTCTCTTTTGAGCTGTGATGGGTTTAGTACTGATGGGCTTGCTGCTATTGCCACTCATTGCAAGTAAGGATTTTGTCAGTTACTTGCATTGCTTGTTTGTCTTAAAATCTTGTGTTTTTGTTGTTTTTATCCTTTCCTATCCTGGGTTAGATCTAAAACAAGTAGTGAGTGGTTGATTCAATTTTAGATCAAGTAATAAATTTTCTGTGTTTTTTTGGTTTTTGATTAATGGGTTTTGAAGTAACCTGGCTGTTTCTGGTGATGCTTGTTGGTGACTGGTTGAAGAGTTTAAACAGTAAAAGAAGTGGCTCTACTGTTGTTTGTTTACTTTCTTTTTCTAATTTATGTTTTCTTTTTCTTGATGTGACTTCTGACCTATTAATGATGATTTAATGGATCATGGCATGTAATTGATGTCATTCTCCGCAAAGAAAAATAAAACCCTTTTTCTAATCTACTGTGGAAATTGTAATTTTTTATGTGTTACATTTTCTGGACTGTGCGGTCAAATATTTAATTGACAATACTGTTGCTAACTGGCGGGGGTTTGATAAATAGATACAATTAATAATGGTGTTCTAGGTTGGGTGCTTGCTAGCTTAGATGATGAAGTTATTTGTTGTTGTGTCAAGTAACTTGAGATCGGATTGTACTCAACTTGACTTTGGGAAGATCAAGGGAGGAGGAGAGTTATCCTGTTGGTTAAATGAAAAAAGGGAAAAAAGAAATAAGAAGAAAAGTATAGTTGTTACAAACTCAATGTTTTTCCACAATTATCACTGATACATTTCAGGTTTCTCGAGTCTCATAACTGGTTTTGCTGTCCATGAGTTCTTTGTATTCGTTGAATTCTTAATAGATCTAATGATTAATCAGAAATATATTGGGAAGCTGCAAGGCAAATGCATTTGTCTTTGGATGTGAAGAATTTATCTGAAAAGTGGTTTATGTAAATAGAAGTTGGTTCTGCTTTTTCATCTCTTTTGTCCTGTGCTTTGTTTCTCTTTTCTTGATGTGACATTTTACCTGTTACATGTGCATTTACTTGATGTCATATTATTGTTGTCAACTTGTAGCCCCCGTGCTCAAATGCACCTTTTTTCGGGTTGTTGGTTTAGATAGTGATGACCATGAAAAATGCTGAATGGTTGTCAAGATACTACAATGTTTTCTGGGTGGTACTGATACATCATCCATCTTTGGTTTTGCCCCATCGTCTAGTAAAATTATCATGTCTGTCAATATCTGCTTGGGCTCAGATGCTTTGTAATTAGAAAGGAGGGGAATAAATGAAAAGGCCGTGTCCAGAATATTGGCATAAAAGAATTTTGGATTTTATGCAACTATGGAGTTTGTGGGTTTCATTCACTGAACCTTAAGCCCTATTGATCCACACTTATTTGCTATCTGTGATTTAGCCTGTTATTTGATTGATGGTGCTCCTGGAAGTGGTTTCTTTCATGAGAATCATATCGAAGGAGTCCAGTGGAGATGTGTTGGAAACTTGACTGTAACTTGAGAAATGGAGAATGTAGTAATATTGATTATAGCAAAGGTTGAAATTCCTAAAAAATTATGTCCCTATAACAATGTATAATTATGCACCATGCTTGTGCAGCGAGCACTCGATATAATTTGCACATTATGTGATGTATACACTTTTCCTAGCCAATTTTTATAAATTATTTCATCGATCTGGTTTCACTGTGCTGTTTTGCATATTTGATTAGTGGCCATCAGGTATAGCTGCAACTATTATCCTTCAACGTATTCATCTTATTTTACTGTAACGTGAAACCTTATCTTGTACTTGCATGGGTTAAAAAGGTACGTCTAATGATGGGAAAAATTTGTTTTACTGTATATGCAACTGCTATTTTTTTCCCCTTTCTTGATGTTACTGAGCATTCTTTTGCTGGTTAATAAACCCTTAATTTTATGATTTATGATTTCTATTGTGCTTTGGACGACTATGTGTTATATCTGTTGTTATATTATTTTTCACTTGCTTAAGAAAACTTTTGACTTCTTTCTTGTTGCAGGAATTTGACTCAGCTTGATATACAAGAGAATGGCATTGATGACAAGAGTGGCCACTGGTTAAGCTGCTTCCCTGAAAACTTCACATCATTGGAAGTACTAAACTTTGCCAACTTGAACACTGATGTCAATTTTGATGCACTTGAGAGGCTTGTAAATCGGTGCAAATCACTGAAGGTTCTGAAGGCCAACAAAAGTATTTCCTTGGAACACCTGCAAAGGCTGCTGGTTTGTGCTCCACAGTTAACAGAACTTGGTACTGGTTCATTCATGCCAGAGCTTACAGCTTGCCAGTATGCTGAGCTTCGAAGTTCATTTAACCAGTTGAAGAATTTAAATACCCTTTCTGGTTTATGGGAGGCAACAGCACCATACTTACCAGTTCTCTATCCTGCCTGTACAAACTTGACTTTCTTAAACTTGAGCTATGCTTTTCTGCAAAGTACTGAACTTGCGAGTCTTCTTTGTCAATGTCCACGTCTTCGATGCCTCTGGGTATGGATCTTTGTTTTTCTTAATCTTTCCCATCAGTTTCATTCTTGGAAACCAATCAATTAACTTTTACATGAATAATTTATTTAATCATCTTCACTTCCAAGTTTTTCATGGCATAGAGCCTAAGCTTTCTGACTTTATTGTTCAACTCTACTTAGGGATGATATACTGTCTCCGTTTAATTAATAACACTGATATATTTAGACTCCTTTTGCACAATGGATATTATCAAACTCTCAACCTTTACTTTCTGATATTTTGTCTGTTAATTTGCTCAGAATTGATTCATCTGATGCTCCTTTTGTTTCAAATGTGTTGTGCAGTATAAAACTTCTGATTTTGTATTTTTCCTGTATAATGTTACTATTTATACTGAACAGTTTTATACATCAAATTGCCTGTGTTTATACTCACCATCTACTTTAATAATGACTGCATATGCATGGATAGTTGTATTCTTTGCATTAACATGACATACTCTCAATTTTTGGATTAGGATATTCTTCAGTATCTTTGATACAAGGAAGAATGTTTCACAAATTTGTGATAGAGAAAAAGAAAATGTGGCTGTGCATGAGTTTCACCCTTTGTTTAAATTAATCCACAGAGCTGCTAAGGCTATCATGAAATTAAGCAATAAAGAGAACTTGTCATAGAGTTATGGGAGGACCTGATCCCCATACAATAAAATAGCATGTGGAGCCTAAACACAGGGTTCTAGTGCTAAGAGGCAAATCTTCAAATGTTAGAAAGTCAGAAGGCAACATTTCGAATCAAATAGGGCAGCACCCTTTCATTTGCAGCCCCAACAAAAAAAAAAAAGAAAAAGAAAAAAAGAAGCTCAACTGTCGATTGCAGTCAATCACACCAAAACATGGAGTCCTAGTCTCTAGATGATTGACTGTTTGGAGGCTTATTCATATCATTAATGCAGGTCTTGGACACTGTGGGGGACAAAGGTTTGGAGGCTGTTGGATCTAACTGTCCATTGCTTGAGGAGCTCCGTGTCTTCCCTGCAGATCCCTTTGATGAGGAAGTTATCCATGGGGTGACTGAAGCTGGGTTTCTTGCTGTGTCTTACGGATGTCGGAGACTCCACTATGTTCTCTACTTTTGCAGGCAGATGACTAATGCTGCAGTAGCCACCATTGTGCAGAACTGCCCTGATTTCACCCACTTCCGTCTCTGCATAATGAATCCAGGCCAACCAGATTACTTGACAAATGAACCCATGGATGAAGCTTTTGGGGCGGTAGTGAGGACATGCACTAAACTACAGAGGCTTTCTGTTTCAGGTCTCTTGACTGACCTGACATTCCAGTATATTGGGCAGTATGCCAAAAATCTGGAAACTCTGTCAGTGGCTTTTGCTGGCAGTAGTGATAGGGGGATGCAGTGCATGCTGGAAGGTTGTCCAAAGTTGAGGAAACTTGAGATAAGGGACTGCCCATTTGGAAATGTAGCACTTCTTTCAGGTTTGGAGAAATACGAGTCAATGAGGTCACTTTGGATGTCAGCCTGCAATGTGACAATGAATGGCTGTCGGCTATTGGCAAGGGAGATGCCCAGATTGAATGTAGAGGTAATGAAAGAGGATGGGAGTGATGATTCTCAGGCTGATAAAGTTTATGTTTATCGTTCTGTTGTGGGACCAAGAAGAGATGCCCCACCTTGTGTACTGACTCTCTCAGGTTTATAAAATATGCAGGTAATCTCTCTCTCTCACACACAAAAAAAGAGAAAAGAAAAAAAGAAGGAATTCAACTATATAGTGTGCTAGTGGCACCGTTGGCTACTGATGTGCCTCCTTTCTTTCAATAGGCGGAGGTCCCATATGATGGCTTTTTTTTTTTTTATAGCATTTTGATCAGAAATAGTGATGTCTTGCTCCTGAATCTGGTTGGGTGAAAAGCTATTTACCTGGAAATTGTTGCATAATTCTTGACTAATGTGGTATTGTTATGTATGATGGTAAAAACCTTTTCCTCCCATATCAATGATCCCGTGCGGTAGGGTCACTGGTGCAGATGGTGTTAAGTTTCTGTTATTCTTCTTCCATCAACTTATCAGGGTTCTGAATTTTCTGGAGTTTTTGCATTCTTGAAGCTCTGTTGTGTCAATAATCTCATTTCTGTATCATTACAGGATCTCGTTCAAACAACATGACAAGCCACAGCATGCAAACATGAAAAGCCACAGCATGCAGGGATTAGGATGCAGTTCATGCAGCTGAATGACTTGGATGGTTAACAAGGAGGAGGATGGACAACATACAAAGCTTATGCATTAATAATCTCCATGGCTGCATGCAAGTTTTCTTTATCTACTTGATATCCTGAAGAGCAAGTTTCCTATGCAGAAGTGGATGAAGCAGCCGTCGTAATAATGGGTCGCTTACGAACCAAAATCTATCCCCACTATGCGTTGCCATCCTGGCCCTGTCAAGGTCCTGCAAAAACAGGAAGCACCAGGACACGTCACGTTTTCAAATTTGCTTTCCTCAATTATTCGATTCCCACTATCATGTAGTTATGTTCAGGAGGTTACCTTTATGAAGCGGGCAATATCTCTGTAGACTCAGTGACCATCAAATATATCGAGAGACGTTTTCTAGTTCCTCTGATGAAATTCAAGCCTGAAATTGGGCTTCATTCAGGCAGGACTGGACTGAGATGGCTGGATTTAGCAGGCAAGGTAACATACTCGTGGTAAATGCCCGGGAACATTGTGTCTCACGGACCCTAATTTACAAGCGAGTTTGTTTTTGTTAATAACCTGCTAATGTCATTGATGGTCAATTGATTGATTAATTTCATTTCTAATATAACAAGAATTTATTTTTTTTTTCATTTAAGAGAAAGAAATAAAAATATTTTAGAAGATTTTGATGTAAACATTCATGTATGAATTTGATAAGAATAGTAATTGTTCATATTTAAACAAAGAATTAAAAAATATGTTTTTAAAATATTCCACTTATGATACCAAACAATCAATTGGTATATGCTAGCCATGTGCTTGGACAATGCTATAAGGTAGTATTGGAAATCTAATTTTATGGCAACTAAAATAGTTATTTGAAAGAAAGATAGTGATTTAAATTTTAAAGAAAAAATATATTTTGTTAGAACACATTTAATTTTTTGTAATGATGGAATCATCTTTTTTATTAGTAGCAAGCTTTAAATAAAAATTAAAGAAAATTAAAATAAATATTAGTAAAAATATCAATAATTAAAACCAAGGAGGAAAAAAAACGCATCTCTTCAATTGAAACTCTCTTTTTATTCATGTATTTTTTTTATTTTGGTAAAAATATTTTTTTATAAGAAATATATATTTTTAAATAAAAACTTGTCATAATATGAACACCAAGTTTAGTTAAAAAACCCCATGACTTGATAATTTTTACATGATTGCAAGAAAAAAAATAATCTACAAAATTAAAAAAAAACTACAATATAAAAATAATAAAATAAATATTTTATTCTCATTGAAAACAATTTTAAAAAATGTTCTTAGAAACAATGATTCACAGAGTAATTGTTAACACATAAAAAGCTATATTTAGTGTATTTGATGTAGAAGCTGGGATTCTTTTAGATTTTGTGTTAGTTGAAAATTGCTTGTTAGCAACATTTGCAAATGGTATTTTATATATTACCCCAATAATTATATAGTGGCCTGACAAGAAATCCATGCTAGCAATTCATGAGTTATAGGGCTCAATTGTCTTATAATTTCTTTGTTGTTGCGAATTTGGTACAGAGCCAATTCATGCAGCTTGCGAGCCACTGTGCTCTTATGAAATTGATCACGCTGTGTTTAATTAAGATCTCGTGCTTATATGAAGCTCCTTTCAGCCATTAACATTCTGGCAAGCTGTCTCGTTCAAGCAAGAAGCTAATGATAGCCATATCAGTCTTTTGGCCAAGATTTATATCCATGGCTTGATGCCATGAGGTCACGTCATTTTCTTGCTGGGGTAAGCTGTAAGAAACAAGCCACTCCATCTGTCTCTTTCGTAATTAACAGTACAGATAGTGAAAGCTGATCCAGCTCTAAGATTTTCATCGTCATGAGGGAGATTTGCAGACCACAAGCCTCAAGCTTTTTGCAGTTAGAAACCATTCCTGATTTGTGAGTGAAAAAAGAGAGTGTAGAGCTGAGAAATTGGAACTCAGTGATACGGTGCAAACTACACCGAGAAGTATCAATTAGAAGTTTTGGATTGGATTGATAAATTATAAGATCAAGGTTAAAAAAATTAAAAATTATATTTGATGAATTATTCAAAGTAATGAAGTTGAGATAAATTTTAAGGAGGAGATATGTTTAATTCAACAAGTAATAATTAAATCTTAATCAATTTAATACATGTATATAAGAAGCCTAAACCATCTACTTTATATGTTATTTAATTTCAGTAGGTAAATGTTTATATTTTTTATAATAAATAATTTTACTCTAATAAGAGTAATTTTCAATTCAATCATTAGATTAGATTAAAATTTCACCAAAAAATTTTAGACGACTTGTTTTATATTGAGTTACAATATTAAATTAATCGAATATTAAAAAGATTTTGAGATAAAGTCCAAAAACTACTATACAATAATCATATTAGTTTCCTAGTTTATTTATGTTTTTTTCTTCCTATTTTATTAGTTTCCTAGTTTATTTATGTTTTTTTCTTTCTATTTTATATAAAAATATTTTATTATTTTCTAACATTATTTATGATATTTTCACCTATTATAAATAAAATTATTTAGCTTGTATTTAAGTTTTTTATACAAATTTTGATTTCAACAATTATTATTATGTGTATGAGGTTTTGCTTGTACGTTTTGGTCTTTATTAAACTTCTCTGACTTATCGAAGAATTGACCAAGCTTTGTGGCATCTTCTATACTTCTCGTTCATGTCTCTTCATAGGTGTTGGGTGGGTTTTTTTTTGGTTATTTATAGTCTTGGTGTTTCGTTACAAGTTATTGTCATGTCAAGCTCAAATCCTAAATTTAGCTTTCGTTTTCTTAAAAAGAATTAATTGATTATGGTTTTTTAGATATTTATATTAAGTTGGTTTCATAACAAGACTCTAAAATTAGATTATACCCTTTATTTTTTAGTTTCTGTGTTATTTCATCATTGTCGTAATTCTATCTAGACTTGAGGCATAATATATAAATAAGGCATACAAATTATGATATGAGTGTCTACAATTCAAAAAAAGAAAAGAAAAGAAAGATTAAAGAAATTACACAAAGACAAAAAAAGAAAAGAAAGATTAAAGAAATCACACAAAGACAAAAAAGTAGGTTTTAGGTTGCAAAATTAGGTTTTTTCCGCAAACTTGAATTCAACAACTCAAATCTAAATTTTTTAATTATTGGGACATATAATTTTCATAGCTTGACTTTTATAATTTTCATAGCTTGACTTTTATAGCTATTTAGGTATATTTTATTTGGTTATTTATGAAAATTATATATAAAAAATCATAACAAGTAATTTTATGTCAATATTCTTTTATTGATAGTTTTGGCAAAGTAAAAAAAAAACAATTAGTGTCTTTGCTTAGTTGAGTTATTGATATCCTTGGCAACTTGGTAAGAAGACCAAGCATAACGAGTTTCAAAACAAATATTATTTTAAAAAGGATAGAATAAGTGTCATACTTTTATCATTATCACCTAGATAGGTTTATTAAGATTATTTGAAACTAAAAAAGAAAGAGAAGTTAAAAGTTTAAAACAATCACACGAGGATGTGAGGAATAGTGAAAATAATAAGAGCATTGAGATAACATATTTGAACAAGTTAGTTTTTATGCAAAAGATAATGAGATTAAGAATTTTTATTTTTATGGCATTTCTATAATTTTACTTGTACATAAAAAAATATATTTTAACACAATCTTGATCTTTGTATTCCTAGTATTTGTGTTTACTTGTTGTATGAGCATGATAATATTTTTCCTAATGAGGTACCTAACATGCATGTCAAGTGGGTTAAGTTCATAGAAATATTCACATATATGATAAAATACAAGTAAAGTGAGGAAAACATAATGACTTATGCACTATCATGAAGGTATATACTTCTTTTTATTTTAAATGCTAGAATATTATGATTTAAGTATATAAAAGATTTACATGTTGATAATGATGATTTGGCCAAGTTATAAAGCATGAGAGCATTCAACATTCAATAAATTTTTTAGGGTTGATGATTATTTATTTTTTTAAAAAATATTATGTGCCTAATTGTTCTATATATAAATTACTTGTTTACGAAGCTCATAAGGTTAGTTTAATAGGATATTTTGAGTTGCTAAGATTTTAAATATTTTACATAAGTATTTTTATCGATCTAAGATGAAAAGAGATATATATAAAATTTATAATAAGTGCATAATATGTAAACAAACTAAGTTTAAAGTGCTACTTTGTAGTTTGTATACTCTTTTACCAGTACCCAATAAACCTTAAGTTGATATATTTATAAATTTTGTTTTAGGTTTGCCTTGATTAAAATGGGGTAGGGATTCTATTTATGTGGTTTTAGATAGGTTTTTTAAGATGATAAATTCCACATCTTATCATAAAATCGATGATGCAACTAATATAACAAACTTATTTTTAAAGGAGATAGTTCAATGACTTCATGGGTTGCAACTAATATAACAAACTTATTTTCAAGGGAGATAGTTTGACGACTTCATGGGTTTCTTAGAAGCATTATTTCTAATTATAATGTTAAATTTCTTAGCTAATTTTGAAAGGTTTTGTGGTGTAAGTTAAGAATAAAATTGTCATTTTTCACTACTTTTCATCCATAAAAAAATTCAAACTGAACTAATTAATATGACTTTAACTATATTATTAAAAATTATCATTTTATATCCATGGCTTGATGCCATGAGGTCACGTTATTTTCTTGCTGGGGTCTGCTGTAAGAAACAAGCCATTCCATCAAGCTCTTTATATAAATGTGCATGCTACTACTAACTGTTTTTCTTTTGAAATTATTTATGACTTTGAATTCAATAATTATTAGTGCATGTGTGTGAGTTTTGCTCATATTTTTTTGTTTTTCATTGAACTACTTTAATTTATTGAAGAATTGATGAGACTTTATGGTTTTTTATACTTCTCATTCTCATCTCTTTATAACTTTTGGGTAATGAATTTTAAGTTACTAATAGTTTTGGAGTTTCGATATAAGTTACCATTGTGTTAAATTTAAAATCTAAATTTAGCTATTTTAAAAAGGATTTATTTGATTGTGAGTTTCTAGATGTTTATATCACAAGGTACATCATTTAGCTTCTTTATTAAATCCCAATATGTTCATAAAAACTTAATTGTAGTTGGTGATTAACAAGGCTAACCACACACATTGTATATGTTTAGCTTTGCTTTCACTTTGAGTTGCGTTATTTATTCTTACAGAAAGAAAGAAAAGAAAAGGAGTTGTCAATGGCTTTGGCATGAATGTCTAGTTAGCTAAACCACCACATAACCACTAGACTTTTTAAAGAGTTAGCTCCACGGTTGTAGAACTTCTTAGTCAAATGGAAGGGGTCCAAGGAAAAGATTAAGACTGTGTTATTTTGGGAAGGTCATTTTCAGTTCTAATGGCTTAATTTAGTGAATAACATCAAGGTCCAGACTCAAATATCTTCAAATCGTAATATTAATATAGTTTTAGGTTAACTCAAAGATTTCTATCACTAATTTTGATGAACAAAAAAAATAAATTGATGCATGCATCTTTCTCTTCGTAGCCAAGGTGAATTGTACCTTTGCTAGCTTGTGTGCTAAATTTCACTTCTTTTCTACTCAAAGTTCTGTCTAAAGATATCACTCTTTGCTTTGGCACACGAATCCCATTTGCACCTAACATAGCAATAGTGCATTAATCAACCAAAACACCATTGCTTCGAGGGCTCGTGCTAGCTAGGCTCACAACAGCCCTACAATGTCCAACAATAAATTATACCATCCTCCAGCTAACAAGAAAAGCGACCAACTAGCACTAGGCAATGATCATCCTATGATCTGTTTGAATTCTCAAAAAGTTAAGTGTAAATTATACAGATTAATGTAAATACAATGAAGACCCACCACCATGTGCAGGTCAAATTATACTGTGAATTGATGAAGGCAACGAACATCTTCATATGGAGTTACTCAGGCATCACAATATTGGCCAACAAACAGAAAGTCAAATTCTGAAGACAGTCAAGAAAGGATCAAGGCCTTCTTTTGCCACGTGAAAAACTTTTTCGGAGAGATTAAAACTAGAGCCAATACATCCAAAACACTATGCATGAATCATACTCAATTTTGGAAAGTTAATTGTAAAATAATGGACGGTGACAAGAAAAACAGTGGATAATCTTGTCATGCATTAAGACAGCATCTGTACAACATTAGACACCTAATCACGTCATGGGTCAATTTGTTCACTTGTCATCTTCCTGGTTTTTTAATGTGCATGATCCTCGAGCTTTCTTTGAAAAACTCCCATCAATCCCTCTAAAGCTTGTCCCTCAAGTTAATTTGCGTAAAGGGCAATATCCTTTGCGTTTTCTTTAGCAATATTGAATTGCACTAGAGTAGCTTTTGGCCCATTTCCTTAGCTCCTCTCAGCATCAATCCCTCACACAAAAGATTAGAAAAGAATACTAGCTAGCACCTTTCTCCCACGATGGTTTTATTTGTAGCTTCAGCTCCATTTCCTTTTGGAAAGTGACTGCTAGCTCAAGTCATCCGGCATAGGGCTTCACATGGTGGGGTGGGGTGTTTGTTATCTCCATTCTTGGAGAAATGAGAGCTTCTCTTTTTCTTCTTTTCACCTAATATCGAAGGTGATGTCCATATTAAGAGCTGTGGTCCATAAGGTTATTGTTTTCTCTCACCATTGTCTCTTCCCTTTGCTATCAAGAACAAGTTGGAGGGTTAGGAGTAAATTTAATTAGCTCCTCTCCTAATCATGGATATAAATAAACCGAAACTCTCTCCATGGATGGAATTTGGGAGAATTAAGCAAGCCAAAATATTACTGAAAATATTACTTTAGTTTCTTCTTGCTAAATAGTGAGTAAATCTCACCACCAAATCCACTCAAAAGAATAATAGCTATCATCATCATTATATTTTTAATAATTTTATGAATTAATACCCCAACTCTCCAAATTGAAATCTCTCTCAAGGACAATATACTGTATGGTGGGGCGGAAAGCAACGGTTAAATAATTAATATAACCTATACTATAAAGTGCAATAAAAGAATAATTAAGAAATACACGTGTGATGTATTATTGTCTTGCATTTACCACACTTTATATATATATATATATATATCCACGTAGGCGGAGAGAATCAAGTACCGATGAAATGATAAATATGGGAAGAGCTAACGAGTGTTCTTGAAACATATGCTAAGCATCATCCGTGTATATGAATTAAATCTCATTAATTTATTGTTGATTATTTTAAAGAATAAAAATCAAATGTTCAAATAAAAATAAATGGTATTAATGAAATATATGGCAATGTTTTTAAATATATATATTTTTTAAATAAACATATTAATATCACCAAATAACTCTTATCAAATATATATTGAAAACACCAATTAGAATAACAGTTGAAATAAAATTATATTTGATAATAATTTACAAGATAAAATAGTTATTTTATTTTATTTTTTTATCATAACTTATAATGAATTAAACATAATAAAATAACTTTATAAATATACATAATTTTTTTTAGAATTAAGAAAAGATAAAACCTCTCCACCTCTGTCCTTGGCATCACCCACCGTTGGAAGTAAATAAGTCACCCTTTGACCATCTCCCATTTCTGATATCTCTCCCCAACTTCCAACAGACTCCACAGTCAACACAGCAGAAACCCCATTTCCCCCCTCTAAAATGACAAAATGCCCTTCCAACCTTGATGACAGTCATGTAATTTGCTATGAACAACCAAAGCATCTAGTTAGCAACACAACTCAGTTTCAACTTCTTCGGAATATAGACAGCTAGATAGCATTGCTACACGGAGAGATATGCAGGCTCATACTCTATCTCTATCTTAAAAAAGATTTCATCGCTTAGATTCCTCCCTTGATAGGTAGATTCCAAATGGGGTTGTTGCAAAATCATTGATAAACAAAAACTTGGGAAAAGAAAGTTCAAAAACAAGACCAGATCTTTCAAGAATCTTCACAACCAATGTGCAGTGTCAGGCAAGCTATTGAGGTTATTTCTTCTTTGATCTCCTACTCTCATCCAATTAAAGTCTTTGCCGTGAAATGGCAACTGATTAGAAACAAGCTAGAAGAGCTATGCTCAAGCCTGACTGCCCTAGAGAATTGTGATTCAATCCAGAATCCAATACTTTCAGGCATGATATCTGCTATCCTAGCCTCTGCTAGTGACTGCTATGATCTTGCTAGAAGATGCGTGGATCTTTCGTACAGTGGCAAGCTCTTGATGCAGAGTGATTTGGATGTAATGTTTGCAAAGTTTGAGAGACATGCAAAGAATCTATTTGGGATTTGTACTGCAGGCATTTTGACTCAGGGTTTTGCCATTGTTGTGTCTAGGCCTGGTGACAATGCTTGCAAAGATGACATGAGGTTTTACTTTAGAGATCTGTTGACTAGAATGAAGATTGGTGACTTGGAAATGAAGAGACAGGCTTTGCTCAATTTGTATGATGTTGTTGTTGAAGATGACGAGTATGTGAAGATACTTGTCGAAGTTGGTGACATAGTGAATATACTGGTTAGTCTTCTTGATTCAGTGGAATTGGAAATTCAACAAGAGGCTGCAAAGGTCGTGTCAGTGATTTCGGGCTTTGATTCCTACAAATCTGTTTTGATTGGAGCTGGGATTGTAGGGCCTTTGATCAGGGTTTTGGAGAGTGGCAGTGAAATAAGCAAGGAGGGTGCCGCAAGAAGCTTGCAAAAATTAACTGAAAATTCTGATAACGCTTGGTCAGTTTCAGCTTATGGGGGTGTGACAGCTCTATTGAAAATATGTACTAGCGCTGATTCTAGAACAGCACTTGTTTGCCCTGCTTGTGGGGTATTGAGAAATCTTGTTGGTGTTGATGAAATAAAGAGATTTATGATTGAAGAAGGTGCAGTGCCCACATTAATCAAGCTGGCAGGATCAAAAGATGAAGCTGTGCAGATAAGTTCGATCGAGTTCCTTCAAAATATTGCATCTGTAGACGAATCAGTGAGGCAGTTGGTGGCTAGAGAAGGTGGAATTCGGGCATTAGTACGGGTTTTTGATCCGAAAAGCGCATGTACTTCAAAATCTCGAGAGATGGCATTAAGGGCAATTGAGAATCTATGTTTCTCTTCAGCTGGTTATATCATTATGTTGATGAATTATGGTTTTATGGATCAGCTTCTTTTCTTTCTTCGAAATGGAGATGTTTCGGTTCAAGAATTGGCACTGAAAGCAGCATTTAGGCTCTGTGGAAAATCAGAGGAGACTAAAAAGGCAATGGGGGATGCTGGATTTATGTCAGAGCTTGTTAAGTTTCTTGATGCAAAATCATTTGAAGTTAGAGAAATGGCAGCTGTGGCACTCTCCAGCTTAGTTTCTGTGCCTAAAAACCGTAAAAGATTCGTGCAGGACGATCGCAATGTGGGCTTTCTTCTTCAATTGCTTGACCAAGAAGAGGCAAATTCAGGTAGCAAAAAGTTACTGATCTCTATATTATTGTCCTTAACAAGTTGCAATAGTGGAAGAAAAAAGATTGCCAGTTCTGGTTATTTGAAGAACATAGAAAAACTTGCAGAAGCTGAAGTTTCTGATGCTAAAAGACTTGTCAGGAAGCTCTCCACAAATAGATTCCGTAGCATATTAAATGTAATCTTGCATTCTTGATTGTGATTCTCTTTCTTTCACCGTATATCTAAAAAAGTGGTATCAAAGCTTTTTCATCTTCTGTTGGTTCTTAATCTCACTTACAGGTCTTTATCTCTGTTTATTTTATCTGCAAAAACAGCTTTAGAGCAGCTTGTAAATATTCTGGCATTGTTGATTTGCAGTCACAGTTAATATTAAGTGAATAAAATATTAAAAACAGGATGTAATTACTGTTATTTAAGATATAGAAATGATATCTACGTGATAATTTTTTTTGTTAGCATTTGTGATGAAGCACACATGGAAATGGCAGGAAACCCAGAGAGGCATGGGAACAGTTCCTATCAAGTTTCGTCCATCCAACCATGATGGACACCGAAGACAGTGATGGATGAATTACTCGACATATTTGCGTGTCTTTTCCCATCCCTTTCTTGTTTTGGCACTTTCCTATGAAAAGACATTTTATAATGTTTTGAGCTTATGCTAAAATAAAAAAGAGTTAGGGACCATATGATGCAGATATTGAACTACTATTTTGTTATTTTTATTTTATTTTTAAATATATATTTTTTAATTTTGAATTGTTTTGCTGTCTTGATATAAAAAATAAAAAAATAAAAATTATTTTAATATATTTTTAAATTAAAAATACTTCAAAAAATAATTTCTATTATTTTTACAAATACCTCCCTAAATGTAGTTTAAGTCTCAGGTTATCTTTAGTGCAACCGACAACTTATAGACAGTTTGGGTTAAGAATTATTGATTTTTATCTAATGGTTTAAAGTATTTTTTATTTTAAAATATTTAAAAATAATTTTTTATTTTTAAAAATTATTATTAAGATTAATATATTAAAATAATTTAAAAATATAAAAATATTTTAACAAAAAAATTAACTTTTGAGGGAACGGTTTTAATAGCGTTTTGAAACATAATTTAAAAATATTTGAAATTATGATTATAATTGTTTTTTAAAGTATTTTTTATAATAATAGCTAATTTTAAAAGGTTTTGTAGTGTAAGTTAAGAATAAAATTGTTATTTTTCACTACTTTTCATCCACAAAAAAATTCAAACTGAACTAATTAATATGACTTTAACTATATTATTAAAAATTATCATTTTATATCCATGGCTTGATGCCATGAGGTCACGTTATTTTCTTGCTGGGGTCTGCTGTAAGAAACAAGCCATTCCATCAGTCTCTTTCGTAATTAACAGTACAGATAGTGAAAGCTGATCGAGCTATAAGATCTTCATCGTCATGAGGGAGATTTGCAGACCACATGCCTCAAGCTTTTTGCAGTTAGAAACCATTCCTGATTTGTGTGTGAAAAAGAGAAAGTGTAGAGCTGAGAAATTGAAACTCAGTGACACGATGCAAACTAAACCGAGAAGTATCTATTAGAAGTTTTGGATTGGATGGATAAATTATAAGATCAAGGATAAAAAAATTAAAAATTATATTTGATGAATTATTCAAAGTAATGAAGTTGAGATAAATTTTAAGGAGGAGATATGTTTAATTCAACAAGTAATAATTAAATCTTAATCAATTTAATACAGGTATATAAGGAGGCTAATCCATCTAGTTTATATGTTATTTAATTTCAGTAGGTAAATGTTTATATTTTTTATAATAAATAATTTTACTCTAATAAGAGTAATTTTCAATTCAATCATTAGATTAGATTAAAATTCCACCAAAAAATTTTAGACGACTTGTTTTATATTGAGTTACAATATTAAATTAATCGAATATTAAAAAGATTTTGAGATAAAGTCCAAAAACTACTATACAATAATCATATTAGTTTCCTAGTTTATTTATGTTTTTTTCTTCCGATTTTATATAAAAATATTTTATTATTTTCTAACATTATTTATGATATTTTCACCTATTATAAATAAAATTATTTAGCTTGTATTTAAGTTTTTTATACAAATTTTAATTTCAACAATTATTATTACGTGTATGAGGTTTTGCTTGTACGTTTTGGTCTTTGTTAAACTTCCCTGACTTATCGAAGAATTGACCAAGCTTTGTGGCATCTTCTATACTTCTCGTTCATGTCTCTTCATAGGTGTTGGGTGGGTTTTTTTTGGTTATTTATAGTCTTGGTGTTTCGTTACAAGTTATTGTCATGTCGAGCTCAAATCCTAAATTTAGCTTTCTTAAAAAGAATTGATTGATTATGATTTTTTAGATATTTATATTAAGTTGGTTTCAAAACAAGACTCTAAAATTAGATTATACCCTTTATTTTTTAGTTTCTTTGTTATTTCATCATTATCGTAATCCTATCTAGACTTGAGGCATAATATATAAATAAGGCATACAAATTATGATATGAGTGTCTACAATTCAAAAAAAGAAAAGAAAAGAAAGATTAAAGAAATTACACAAAGACAAAAAAGTAGGTTTTAGGTTGCAAAATTAGGTTTTTTCTGCAAACTTGAATTCAACAACTCAAATCTAAATTTTTTAATTATTGGGATATATAATTTTCATAGCTTGACTTTTATAGCTATTTAGGTATATTTTATTTGGTTATTTATGAAAATTATATATAAAAAATCATAACAAGTAATTTTATGTCAATATTCTTTTATTGATAGTTTTGGCAAAGTTAAAAAAAAAAAACAATTAGTGTCTTTGCTTAGTTGAGTTATTGATATCCTTGGCAACTTGATAGGAAGACCAAGCATAATGAGTTTCAAAACAAATATTATTTTAAAAAGGATAGAGTAAGTGTCATACTTTCATCATTATCACCTAGATAGATTTATTAAGATCATTTGAGACTAAAAACGAAAGATAAGTTAAAAGTTTAGAACAATCACATGAGGATGTGAGGAATAGTAAAAATAATAGGAGCATTGAGATAACATATTTGAACAATTTAGTTTTTATGCAAAAGATAATGAGATTAAGAATTTTTATTTTTATGGCATTTCTATAATTTTACTTGTACATAAATAAATATATTTTAACACAATCTTGATCTTTGTATTCCTAGTGTTTGTGTTTACTTGTTGTATGAGCATGATAATATTTTTCCTGGTGAGGTACCTAACAGGCATGCCAAGTGGGTTAAGTTCATAGAAATATTCACATATATGATAAAATATAAGTAAAGTGAGGGAAACATAATGACTTATGCATTATCATGAAGATATATACTTTTTTTATTATTTTAAATGTTAGAATATTATGATTTAAGTATATAAAAGATTTACATGTTGATGATGATGATTTGACCAAGTTATAAAGCATGAGAGCATTCAACATTCAATAAATTTTTTAAGGTTGATGATTATTTATTTAAAGAAAAAAAATATTATGTGCCTAATTGTTCTATATATAAATTACTTGTTTATGAAGCTCATAAGGTTAGTTTAATAGGATATTTTGAGTTGCTAAGATTTTAAATATTTTACATCAATATTTTTATCTATCTAAGATGAAAAGAGATATATATAAAATTTATAATAAGTGCATAATATGTAAACAAACTAAGTTTAAAGTTCTACTTTGTAGTTTGTATACTCTTTTACCGGTACCCAATAAATCTTAAGTTGATATATTTATAAATTTTGTTTTAGGTTTGCCTTTATTAAAATGGGGCAGGGATTCTATTTATGTGGTTTTAGATAGGTTTTTTAGGATGATAAATTTCACATCTTATCATAAAATCGATGATACAACTAATATAACAAACTTATTTTTAAGGGAGATAGTTCGACGACTTCATGGGTTGCAACTAATATAACAAACTTATTTTTAAGGGAGATAGTTCGACGACTTCATGAGTTTCTTAGAAGCATTATTTCTAATTATAATGTTAAATTTTTTAGCTAATTTTAAAAGGTTTTGTAGTGTAAGTTAAGAATAAAATTGTTATTTTTCACTACTTTTCATCCACAAAAAAATTCAAACTGAACTAATTAATATGACTTTAACTATATTATTAAAAATTATCATTTTATATCCATGGCTTGATGCCATGAGGTCACGTTATTTTCTTGCTGGGGTCTGCTGTAAGAAACAAGCCATTCCATCAGTCTCTTTCGTAATTAACAGTACAGATAGTGAAAGCTGATCGAGCTATAAGATCTTCATCGTCATGAGGGAGATTTGCAGACCACAAGCTTTTTGCAGTTAGAAACCATTCCTGATTTGTGTGTGAAAAAAGAGAAAGTGTAGAGCTGAGAAATTGGAACTCAGTGATACGATGCACACTACACCGAGAAGTATCTATTAGAAGTTTTGGATTGGATGGATAAATTATAAGATCAAGGATAAAAAAATTAAAAATTATATTTGATGAATTATTCAAAGTAATGAAGTTGAGATAAATTTTAAGGAGGAGATATGTTTAATTCAACAAGTAATAATTAAATCTTAATCAATTTAATACAAATATGACTTTAACTATATTATTAAAAAATATCATTTAAATTTTTTTGAAAAATTTAAAAAATTGAGAAGATTGTTTGCTATTTATTGAATATGCATATAATATAAGTGGGCATGCTACTACTAACTGTTTTTCTTTTGAAATTATTTATGACTTTGAATTCAATAATTATTAGTGCATGTGTGTGAGTTTTGCTCATATTTTTTTTGTTCTTCATTGAACTACTTTGATTTATTGAAGAATTGACGAGACTTTGTGGATTTCTATACTTCTCATTCTCATCTCTTTATAGCTGTAGGGTAGTGAATTTTAAGTTACTAACAGTCTTAGAGTTTCAATACAAGTTACTATTATGTTAAGTTTAAAACCTGAATTTAGCTATTTTAAAAAGGATTTATTTAATTGTGAGTTTCTAAATTTTTATATCCACAAGGTACATCATTTAGCTTCTTTATTAAATCCAATATGTTCATAAAAACTTAATTGTAGTTGGTGATTAACAAGGCTAACCACGCACATTGTATATGTTTAGCTTTGCTTTCACTTTGGGTTGCGTTATTTATTCTTACAGAAAGAAAGAAAAGAAAAGGAGTTGTCAATGGCTTTGGCATGAATGTCTAGTTAGCTAAACCACCACATAACCACTAGACTTTTTAAAGAGTTAGCTCCACGGTTGTAGAACTTCTTAGTCAAATGGAAGGGGTCCAAGGAAAAGATTAAGACTGTATTATTTTGGGAAGGCCATTTTCAGTTCTAATGGCTTAATTTAGTGGATCACATCAAGGTCCAGACTCAAATAT